AGCTTAGCGCTTCGTGGTTCAGGGTTGGGTTTAGGGTACCAGCAACTCCTAAGCCTTCAGTCCTAACGCAATATACACCAGAGATGGGTTCCGACACATCATTAGCCACGACAGCAAGTACACGTGAAGCTTTAACATGGAAAAGCTTATGCAGTTGTCAGCTGCACTTATGTGCCCAGGTAGATGCAGGTGTGTCAAGCTTGTCTGCGGTCAATTTCTATGAGGTTCCCCGCAGGAGGGGATGTTTGGAAGTCAAAAGGCAGATGGCCAAAGAGTGATATCCGGGTCACACATGGCTTTGCGTGTGCATGGGTGCTTGAAACTGCAGGCATTTGCAGCCGGAGGCCAACAACATGCGCAACACCAGCAGCGAAACGATTTGTTTTAATTCCTGTGCCTTGCTTGCGCCAACAACAGGCACGACATGAGCAGTAGCTGGTAGCCGGCGAGAGATTTTTCGTCGGAGGCGAGTCCGAGCTCGCAGCCATGCCGAAATTCGCGCTGTATGCAAGGCTCCGTGCAGCTGGCGAGGAGACTGGCAAGGACCGGCTGCGCGCGCGGCTCGTGTGGTGCCTCGGCCTCTAGCAGGTTTTCTGCAGCCACATTAGGTTCGTACCCAGTTTCCGATGCGCCGTGTGTAGCATCGTAGCTACGGTGGCTGATAAGAATCCGGAGAAGTCTAAGTCATAAGATATTGCAGGATGTGTCATTGTTGCCATCGTTGAGCGAATGTTGCGGGAAAGCTAAGGCTCCTGGTGGTGGCGGAGACGATCTCCATGCTTTGCTTTCCGCAAGTGGCCACCCTCACGCACGGAGCGTTCTTTCTGATCCCGCTGGGGGCGCTCTTGCTAGCTGCCGCGATCCGTCTTTACTCCAGGCCTGGCATCCTACTGGCTGAGCCACTCTGTGTCGTCTGGCCTGACAACCATTCACGACACGGCCTGGCGCGCGAGCAGGCGCCCAACCTTTGCTTTGGTGGCTTCGTGTGGGTACTGAAGCTTGTGTGCTGTTTGACCTTCTGGGCGAACCCCGATGCTATCAGCTTCCTAGAGGACGGTTGCCCTGACGCAGTCCCGCAGGCAAGCTGCAGCCATTACACACGAAACGATAAACGTACTTTCTGTGTGGACATACATCTTCTCGTGGAGCCGCTAAAGCTAGGTGCCAGGTGCCAAGCGCCAAAAGCTTTATGCAAATGAAGGCGACCCATGCTGGGATCAGTGCTACGGTTGTGCACCTGGGATCCGCGTTTACTCAGGGTTTCAAGTTCTCATGCAGCGCTGTTCGGAGCCGTGCGAGTTATCTTGCTGCCGGTGCCTGCATTGCCAAGTTTCACCCACAGTGCCTTTCTGGTTGAAGCAAGGATGCAGTGCTGGAGCTTTCGCGCCAGATTTTGCACACGAGCTATATGTGTGTGTCAATGGATGCCACATGCCGAAGGATACAATTCCGTACTATGAGGCTCAGACACTGAGCTCCGAAAATACCATGCTCGCACAACTTTCTCGGTGCACCTTGGTCCACGGAGAAGAATCGACTCAAGTCAAGACTGCGGTGGCTGTGGTCGCAGCATTGCAGTGCTTGCCTTTAGCCTCTTTGATCGCCT